CCCAACCACTCAAAAGATTGTGAGTCCCGCCTCACCCTCACATACGCACACATAGAAATTTCAACACACACACGCCAGGGACTCCTATAAATGGGAATGTCAATTGCACTATAAAAGCTAAATGGATGACCTTTAGGGGCTTGTAAAGCATTGCCTTCGCTTTTCAGGGTGCACACAATTTTTGACATGGTTTGACATGTTGGGTATCTAAGATTGTGTGACATAAAAATCTGGAATTACCACTATTTTATTCTGTAGGGTTTCTGTTTTCAGAAAATATATAATGTTTTAAGTCATCTTCAGCCTAAAATGATTTTTTTTAACATTTGTGCAAAAAACACAAAAAAAGCAGCAAAAGGGTTAAACTTTTTAAGAAACTTCAGCTGAGCTGCTTACCGGTATTACCTCAGCATGGAAGCCACGTGCTCCTCTTGCAGTTTACCTCAACTGGGCAGTAATGTCCTTCAGTGCTCAGGGTGGGGCTAATCTGGAATTTTAGAAGGAGAGGTCATTCAACATGAGGGGGTGTGACACTCACCTAGGCAGGGGACGGGCAAGCATAAACTGTGCTCCACAAAAAAAGGAATCCCCTCTCCGCAAAAGAAAATTGTTGCAATTTTTCTCAAAGGGGAAGGAAGGGTAAGATAAAAGGAATAAGTAAAATTGACTGAAGGTCCACTTTAAATAAAATATGATTTCTAATTGGTTACCCTTGCTTTAAAGCACATTATTAATCCCTTCCTACTTAAAATAAGTAGATTCATGTTTATCAGCACAATGCCCCAAGCTGAAGGAACTTTGACCAACTTTCTATTTTAACTGCCAGGACTGTGCGGTGCCGTTTGCTCCTAGGCATAGACCCTGCTCTCACCTACAGCTCCCAGTCTCCACCAACAATTGGGAAGCAATCAGCATGATCATGTGATCACCATGTCAGCCATTTGTCAGCCTTTAAAATGGACCTTCCATAAAAAATTTCTGCATTGTTGCCATTCGAAGAAAGCTAGCTTGGAAGAAAAAAACCTTAAAAATAAAGTTACATTAAACATTAAAACATAGTCACCACGGTCTTGACATCCAATGATACTAAGAGAAGTGGGTGACATCATTGTTCCTTAATACTGCCTCCAGGGATGGCTGGGCGCTTGAAATTCCACGAGAATGCACCAAATGAAGTTCATTCTAGCGTTATTTCTAGTGCCCAGGAGGACTCCCATTTGCATCAAAGGTCTGTTTTTATAATAATAACCTATTATTTATTTATTAAAACACTGTAGGAAATAAAAGCTTTATTTGTACTTAAAAAATCTTTAAGTAGGTAAATTAGTCATGGCATTATTGTCACATTATCTGACGCATATTAATACTGATAACTTTGGCATTGAATTCTAAGCCTCCAAGTCCTCTAGGGGATGAGGTTTAAAGACCCAAATGGATGAGGTCCAATATTTTGATGTGTATATAAATATATACTGTATATACACACACCGGCCATTTTATTAAGTACAACTTGTACTGGGTTGGACCCCTTTTTTCCTTCAGAACTGCCTTAATTCTTCGTCGCATAGATTCAACAAGGTGTTGGAAACATTCCTCAGAGATTTTGGTCCATATTGACATGATAGCATCACGCAGTTGCTGAAGATTTGTTGGCTACACATCCATGATGTGAATCTCTCATTCCACCCGATCTCAAAGGTGCTCTTTTGGATTGAGAACTGGTGACTGTGGAGGCCATTGGAGTACAGTGAACTCATTGTCATGTTCAAGAAACTGGTTTGAGATGATTTGAGCTTTGTGACCTGGTGCACTATCCTGCTGGAAGTAGCCATCAGAAGATGGGTACACTGTGGTTATAAAGGGATGAACATGGTCAGCAACAAGACTCAGGTAGGCTGTGGCATTTAAATGATGCTCAATTGGTCCAAAGTGTGCCAAGAAAATATCCTCCACATCATTACACCACCACCACCAGCCTGAACTGTTGATACAAGGCAGGATGGATCCATGCTTTCATGTTGTTTACACCAAATTCTGACCCTACCATCTGAATGTCGCAGCTGAAATCGAGACTCATTGGACCAGGAAACATTTTTCCAATCTTCTACTGTCCAATTTTGATGAGTCTGTGCAAATTGTAGCCTCTGTGTTCTCTTCTTAGCTGACAGGAGTGATGCCCGGAGTGGTCTTATGCTGCTGTAGCCCATCTGCTTCAAGGTTCGACAAGTTATGCATTCAGAGATGGTATTCTGCATACCTTGGTTGTAAGGAGTGATTATTTAAGTTTCTGTTGCCTTGCTATCATCTTGAACCAATGTGCCCATTCTCCTCTGACTTCTGACATCAACAAGGCATTTTCGTCCACACAACTGCAGCTCACTGGATATTTTCTCTTTTTTGGACCATTCTCTGTAAACCCTAGTGGGTTGGTTGGTTGGTTGGTTGGTTGTGCGTGCGTGAAAATCCCAGTAGATCAGCAGTTTTTGAAATACTCAGACCAGCCCGCCTGGCACTATCAACCATGCCATGTTCAAAGTCACTTCAGTTCCTTTTCTTCTCCATTCTAATGCTTGGTCTTAACTTCAGCAAGTCATCTTCACCACATCTAGATGCCTAAGAGCATTGAGTTGCTGCCATAGCTGATTAGCAATTTATGTTACCAAGCAATTGAACAGGTTTACCTAATAAAGTGGCTAGAGAGTGTTATATACACAGTGCTCAGTAAAAACGAGTACACCCCTTTTGAAAAGTAAAATTTGAATCAATATCTTTTGACAAAACTGAGTTTTATAGAACATTTTTTTAGCTCATTACATGAAAGTAAGGTTAATAATATAACTTAGATTACAAAATCTTCAGTTTAAAGCAAATTAGTTGATGCAAAAATGAATACACCCCACAACAAAAACTAATACATTTAGTATTTTGTATGACCTCCATGATTTGTAAGGACAGCACCAAGTTTTCTAGGCATGGAATGAATAAGTTAGTGACATAGGGTACAATTCACTTAAGCTTATCGCATGAGTTAAGTCAGTCACATGACTACATGTCGCATGCGATACTGAAAATGTCAATTCCCTATTGCTAGTATGCGGTGTTTACCGAAAATGGCAAAAACACTCTGTAAATACCGCATAAAAAGACCTTAAAGTCAATTCACAAAAGGAAATAAATAATTACATGCATGCGGTAATTAAGTAGTGGTCCATGCATGCGGTATGTACTGTATCTGTCAGTACTGTCATGGGTTGTTAAGGAATGGGTGGCTGCGGAGTCCCTAACAACCTATGAGTCATCAGCTATCAGCTGGGTTCCCCACTGACAGCTGAATGTAAAAAAAAAAATTGCCGGCAATAAAAAATGAATAAAGAAATTGCGTGGGGTTCCCCCGAAAATTCATACCAGCCCCTTATCAGAGCATGCAGCCTGGCAGGTCAGGAAGGGGAGGGGATGAGCAAGCGCCCCCCCTCCTGAACCATACCAGGCCACATGCCCTCAACATGGGGGGGTGCTTTGGGGCAGGGGTGCTCCCCCCCCCAAAGCACCTTGTCCTCATGTTGATCGGGACAAGGACCTCTTCCCTACAACCCTGGGCTGTGGTTGTGGGGGTCTGCGGGCAGGGGGGCTTATCGGAATCTGGAAGCCCCCTTTAGCAAGGGGGCCTCAGATCCCAGCCCCCCCATGTGAATGAGTATGCGGTACATTGTACCGATACCCATTCACAAAACAAAAGTGTAGTGTGAAAAAAGACAGGAGACAGTCTTTGACAAGTCCTTTATTAAAAGAAGGAAAATGAAAGAATGTCCCCCCGAAGTATATCCAACATCAATCATGATGTCCACCGCCACACGAAAAAAGAAAAAAAAAAGGCTCTGCTCCCCATGCTGGCTCCCAGCCATCTGATTGCTTCACTGGCTTGACAGTTCTTAAATATGTAAGGCGCAGGGCCACCCGGTGACATCACATATGTGACCCCGCCCCCATGTGGCATCATTGACCCAGCATGCCTGGTCGATGTCACATGGGGGTGGGGTCACACAAGTGATGTCACCAGGTGGTCCCGCCCCTTACATATTTAAGAACTGTCAAGCCAGCGGAGCAGTCAGACGGCCGGAAGCCAGCATTGGGAGCGGAGCCTTTTTTTTTTTTATGGGTGGCGGCGGGCATCGTGATTGACGTTGGATCTACTTCGGGGAACATTCTTTTATTTTCCTTCTTTTAATAAAGGACTTGTCAAAGACTGTCTCCTATCTTTTTTTACGCTACTTTTTTTTTTTTGTGAATGGGTAGCGGTACAATATATTACATACTCATTCACATAAGGGGGGGGAAGTTGGGATCTGGGGACCCCCTTGCTAAAGTGGGCTTCCAGACTCCGATAAGCCCCCCCGCCCTCAGACCCCCACAAACACAACCCAGGGTTGTGGGGAAGAGGCCCTTGTCCCGATCAAGATGGGGACAAGCTGCTTTGGGGGGGGGAAATCGGTGCTCGCTCGTGCCCCCCCCCCCCCTTTCCTGACCTACCGGGCTGCATGTTCGGATAAGGGTCTGGTATGAATTTGGGGGGGTGCCCACGCCATTTTTTTTTAAATGTGTGGGGGTTCCCCTCAAAATCCATACCAGACCCAAAGGGCTTGGTATGGATGGAGGGGAGACTCCACGTAGTTTTTTTTTTTTAATTTCCGGCAATTCTTTCTTTTACATTCAGCTGTCAGTGGGGAACCCCACTGACAGCTGAAACATTAAAGCATGCTTTTCACTACTAAAATACTGCATGACTCAATAAAATAACTCATGCGGTATTTTAGTAGCGTTTTTGTGAATTCAAACGTATTTTTTTAAATGCTATGCGGTATCCTACCGCATACTTGGATGCGGTAAGATACCACTTAGTGAGAGTTGTGCCCATATTGTAACATCTATCTTTTTCCATTCTTCAAGAACGGCCTCTTTTAGAGCCTGGATGCTGGATGGAGAGTGATGCTCAACTTGTCTCTTCAGAATTCCCCATAGGTGTTGGATTGGGTTTAGATCAGGAGACATACTTGGCCACTGAATCACTTTCACCCTGTTCTTCTTCAGAAATGCAACAGTGGCCTTAGATGTGTGTTTTGGATTATTATGTTGGAAAAGTGCACACCGACCAAGGGCACGGAGTGATTGTAGCATCTTCTCTTTCAATATAGAGCAGTACATCTGTGAATTCATGATACCATCAATGAAATGTAGCTCCCCAACACCAGCAACAGTCATGCAGCCCCACAAAAGGTCACTGCCACCATCACCACCACCAGCATGTTTCACTGTAGGCACCATGCATCTTTCTTTGTACTCCTCACCTTTACAATGCCATGCAGTTTTGAAGCCATCAGTTCCAAAAAACATTTGTCTTGGTCTCATCACTCCAGAGTACAGAGGTCCAGTAGTCTTCTTCTTTTTCAGCATGGGTCCTGGCAAATTTTAGTTGGACTCTTTTGTGCATGGGCTTTAGGAGAGACTTCCTTCGTGGACGACACCCATGCATGCCATTCTTCTGCATTGTACACCATATTGTGTCACTGGGGAAACAATCTCCCCAGTTTGGCTTTCTAGTTCATTAGCTAACTACAGTGAACTTGCATGGTGATTTTCTTCAATCTTTCTCATCAGAAGACACTCCTGTTGAGGCGTTAACTTCCGTGGATGGTCTGGACTGTGAGATGCTTGCAGTTCCATCTTTATTACATTTTTGTATCACTGTTGCTACATTATTCTGACTGATAAGTAAAACTTTGCTGATCTTCTTGTAGCCTTCACCTTTTTTGCGTAAAGAAATTATTTTCTTTCTCAGGCCTTGTTAAGTAATAATCAACTGTCTGCTGGACACCTTTTTAATAAATAATTAGACTCACCTGCACTTGAATTCTTGTTAATTAGGATTTTGTTGTCTAAAATTTAGACTTTCATTGGGGTGTATTCATTTTTGAAACATTGTTCTAGAATGAATTTGTTAGGAAAAATACTTTTTTGTGTGCGTAAATTGACAAATCTTGTTTGCAACCAATGGCCCGCATTTGTGGGAGTATTTTGTAGTATAGTGGCCCATAGAAAATGTTGATTCTGAAAGAAAAGGAAAGGTTTTCTGAAAAATCTTTTGGGGTGTACTTATTTATGCTGAGCACTGTATATACAGTGGGGCAAAAAAGTATTTAGTCAGCCACCAATTGTGCAAGTTCTCCCACTTAAAAAGATGAGAGAGGCCTGTAATTGGCATCATAGGTAGACCTCAACTATGAGAGACAAAATAAGAAAAAAAATCCAGACAATCACATTGGCTGATTTGGAAAGAATTTATTTGCAAATTATGGTGGAAAATAAGTATTTGGTCAATATCAAAAGTTAATCTCAATACTTAGTTATATATCCTTTGTTGGCAATGACAGAGGTCAGACGTTTCCTGTAAGTCTTCACAAGGTTGGCACACACTGTTGCTGGTATGTTGGCCCATTCCTCCATGCAGATCTCCTCTAGAGCAGTGATGTTTTGGGGCTGTCGCTGGGCAACACGGACTTTCAACTCCCTCCAAATTTTTTCTATGGGGTTGAGATTTGGAGACTGGCTAGGCTACTCCAGGACCTTGAAATGCTTCTTACGAAGCCACTCCTTTGTTGCCCGGGCAGTATGTTTGGGATCATTGTCATGTTGGAGGACCCAGCCACATTTCATCTTCAATGCCCTTGCTGATGGAAGGAGGTTTGCACTCAAAATCTCATGATACATGGCCCCATTCATTCTGTCCTGTACATGGATCAGTCTTCCTGGTCCCTTTGCAGAGAAACAGCCCCAAAGCATGATGTTGCCACCCCCATGCTTCACAGTAGGTATGGTGTTGCAACTCAGCATTCTCTCTCCTTCAAACACGACGAGTTGTGCTTCTACCAAACAGTTCTATTTTGGTTTCATCTGACCATATGACATTCTCCCAATCCTCTTCTGGATCATCCAAATGCTCTCTAGCAAACTTCAGACGGGCCTGGACATTTACTGGCTTAAGCAGGGGGACACGTCTGGCACTGCAGGATCTGAGTCCCTGGCGTCGTAGTGTGTTACTGATGGTAGCCTTTGTTACGTTGGTCCCAGCTCTCTGCAGGTCATTCACTAGGTCCCCCCGTGTGGTCCTGGAATTTTTGCTCACCGTTCTTGTGATTATTTTGACTCCACGGGGTGAGATCTTGCGTGGAGCCCCAGATCGAGGGAGATTATCAGTGGTCTTGTATGTGTTCCATTTTCTAATTATTGCTCCCACAGCTGATTTGTTCACACCAAGCTGCTTGCCTATTGCAGATTCAGTCTTCCCAGCCTGGTGCAGGTCTACAATTTTGTTTCTGGTGTCCTTCAACAGCTCTTTGGTCTTCACCATAGTGGAGTTTGGAGTGTGACTGTTTGAGGTTGTGGACAGGTGTCTTTTATACTGTTAACAAGTTCAAACAGGTGCCATTGATACAGGTAATGAGTGCAAGACAGAGGCGCCTCTTAAAGAAGAAGGTACAGGTCTGTGAGAGCCAGAAATCTTGCTTGTTTGTAGGTGACCAAATACTTATTTTCCACCATAATTTGCAAATAAATTCTTTCCAAATCAGCCAATGTGATTGTCTGGATTTTTTTTCTTATTTTGTCTCTCATAGTTGAGGTCTACCTATGACGCCAATTACAGGCCTCTCTCATCTTTTTAAGTGGGAGAACTTGCACAATTGGTGGCTGACTAAATTCTTTTTTGCCCCACTGTATACAATTGATCAGAATGTTTTTCTTTTTTTAAGACAGAAGCAATTTTTTCTTTTTCACACACAAAATATTATTTGCAATATAGTTTTTATTAGCCTTTTTTACAACTGCTACTCTCATAAATACTTTACCTAATAATCTCTAGCAAATTTTATATTCACACGACAGTTCTCCTGTCCAAGAGTTTATTTCTTAATTATTAGAACATATTTTAGGTGGTTTATGTTAGCTGACATATTCTCCAGACTTTCCACAGCCCTAATCACAAAACAGTTCCTAGTTATTTGCACAAATAATCATTTTCATTTGATAGGTCACTTGGAGGCATCATGTGAAGTGAGATGGTTAAATTTATATTTGTTTAAAGAGTACAAAGGCAAAGATATGAATGGTAAATCTATGTTATTTTAATGAGGTTTAAATGCATTCAGAAAGCAGTAGAAATCATAATGTTCACAGTCACATCAGCCTATACAATAGTAGACAGATTAACAATATATGGGTCAATGTCACAAACCAGAATCGGTGTTAATAGGCAGATTTACAGGGGCAAACCTTCACAATAGCCTTGATATCTGGCAACTGATCTATGCAAATGTTTTAAATCAACACTAAAAAAAAAATAAACTAAAGCAGGAACAATGTAATACTAATGATATAGATGCTTTACTGTAGGAGGATTTTCCCCATAACGATTTTCCCCATACTGTAGTCCATGCTAAATTCCACTCCTTTGAAAAGCCCCACTGACAGCAAACTAGGACCTCGCACCTTAAAGACCAGTGTTTGCCACATTGGTGAAAAGTGCCAGTAAGGCAGGTCACATACAGTATGCTCTTTCCTCTTCTCACTAAACAAGGATCATCGATGACATCCCATGTGGAAAAATATTGAAAAGGCCTCTATCATTACCATTACTTTTTACAAGCAGACATTTCTTGAGTTCATTCATTTCCACCATGTAAAGTGAAATGAACCCTTATATCCCCATAGATGAACTTTTCCACTATCCAATTAAGTTATTGTAATAGCAAACTAAGGTATTTTTTCAATGGATAGTGAGATGGCAAAAGGAGGATATAGTTCCAAAGTCAGAAAAGGTAACATGAGATTACCATGTGCTTCTGGGGCCATGGAGAAGTGTGACCAGGACCAAGCGTTCCCAAAGTATACTGAATCTGCTCATATTCAGTGTTGGAAATGAGGTTAGAGAGAGAAAAGAGGACTATTTAGCCACCTGACGCCAAATTATGCACATGTACATCATTTGGCATTAAGTGGTTGCATCGGGATAATACCTGCAGCTGCACGCATCCTCCTGGTACCATTTTTCAGAGCCGACAGTCGGCTCTCTTTTAATAGCAATCCAGCAGCTAACTAGCTGCTGGATTGCTATTAGAAGCAGCAGGTGGGGACGTCCCCCCTCCACCACCTTCCACGGCTTTAACCGGCTGTTCCATCGCACTGGGAGATCTGATCAACCATAGAGCTGAACAAAGATTCGAACTGCTCCGTTCAGCTCTATGATATAGGAAACCGGAAGCAATGACCTTACATCACTTGTGGTTTACCCGGATGTACACTTGTCCATTTTTAAAAACGAAAAGCATTTGATCACACCAATCATAGTGTGATCAAATGCTTTTAAGGGCAGAGGAGGGCTTTGGGTATCTTATGACCTCAGATCACTCCATAAAGAAAACTGTCACATAACTATTGCTTTCACAAGGGATGTTTACATTCCTTGTGTCAGCAATAAAAGTGGAAAAAAAAAACCTTTAAAGCAACAGTGTAAAAAATGTAAATTTATTTTAAAAAATGTAAAGTGCCCCCATCCTCTCATGGTCATGTGCAAAGACGTTGGTCCCGCATGCAGGCAAGCAGCGAACATCCCACACATGTGAGGTGTCAACATGAACATCAGGTCATGGACAGTAATTCTAGCACCAGATGTCCTCTGTAAATCTAAAGTGATAACCTGTAAAGGCTTTTAAAGCATCGCCTATGGATAGTAAAATTTTTTACATAAGTCACTGTTGCTTGTGCATCCGCAATTTAAAAGTGTGACATGTTTGGTATCTATTTGTTTGGCGTAACATCATCTTTTATACTTTACAAAAAAAATTTTGTATTGTGTTTTTTTTTTTTGCATTAAAACAAAAAAAGTGTATCTTTTCCAAAAATAATTGCATTTGGAAAACCGCTGTGCAAATACTATGTAACGTAAAAATTGCAACACCCATTAATGTATTCTCTAGGGCTTCTGGTTTAAAAAAATTTTAATGTTTGGGGGTTCTAATAAATTTTTTCGCAAAAATTACTGATTGATACATGTAAACACAAAGTGCAGAAAAGGCTTGGTCTTCAAGTGGTTAGAGAATCTGTCATTTTTGCCCATTCATAGCAAAGACTCCACCTACATACGGTCACCTTCCATGTGGTCCCACGCAGCATTGTTGCTCTTTTGGAGCCCTCAGTGAATATCCAGTGCTTCTAGGTTTGGCTGACCATGTGACCACCTTCTAGGATGCTGTGCTTGGCCTGGTGCCAATCTCTAGTCCTAAACAGCATCACCTTATGAGGAGGAGAATTTAACCCTGTTTACTTTCCAATGTAAAACTTACACAGGGTTAGGACTCCTGTCTCTGACAGAGGAGGAGAGCAGTGTAAAATATGAAGAAGGCAGCTTTCAGTTTGGTGGGAGGGAGGGGGTTTATTACAAAAGAACCCGTCACTTTGCACTAAATGGGCAAAATGATGCAGTTTTCCTAAAGTGTAACTTCACTTTCAAAAAAAGAAATATCCTCTGGTTAGTTACATACAATACAAAGACTTTACCTGTACTGCCCAGTCCTTCCTGTTGGCATGTATTGGTAGAGCTCAC